ATTGAGCGTTTACATTATACATACAATATTCATATCCCTCTTGGATCAGTGTTAACTTTTAAGAACGGGGTTCCATTTTTAAATCTGACACTTTTTCCTTGAATAAGATTTGTTCTTTATTTTTCTTGAATAAAATTTGTCCTTTATTTCATTGAATTTCTTGTCTCAAAATATAACACTATTTCAGCACCACTATAGTCGTCTTTTAAAGGTTGAGCGACGTCTACAATGAGATTTTAAGGTGTAAAACTTAAGCCTTAAACCGTAAGAAATGGCTCAATCATAATTGAATGTAAGGACAATAATAGATGAATATAAATAGTCCATTTTTTACGGTTTAAGACATAAAGCTTAAATTTTATGCCTTAAAATCTTATTGTAGACGCCACTTTAAGTTAAATAGCTTAATATCACGAGTGCATATTGCATTTATAAACTGGCTGTATTGTTTAAAGCTTAAGAATGCTATTTTTTTCGCGTGATGTAAAAAATTCGGCAAATAACTCATTTCAATTAGCGTGCAATAAATTTCTCGGCAGCCGTGTTACGAATACGGTTTTGGTACTTGATACTAACTGTTATCTACATCAGAGCGCCTGTGTGAAAATAAACGGGCATGTTACGCAATTTGCATTCTCGCTAATTGAATCACACCCGCGGTGAAACAGCCTCAAAATTACAGAGCGGCAAATCACATTTTTATTTAATGCCACAAACTCGTTGCCGGTGCTAAATACTGAATGAATATGCATTAGTATGCAAAATTCCGCTGTCACATAATCGCGGGACATAACGTAAAACTCGCCGCATCCGCGAAAACAAAGTTCGATCGATGTTACCTCACGCATAATTAATTAAATCATAAACACGAGTCGAATAGCGTCTCTGATTATACTTTTTGTTGCTTGCTAATAATTGATTTTTAACGGCACATTAATCTAGTATTTGTTTTTATTCTGCGTTAATTCCAAATGCTCTTTCCTATTGTAATATCCAGCAGATAATGCCGACAGTGCGTACCAAATGCTTCTCGTCCCTCGAAGGAATTCTCTGTCTAGACATTTTGATAATAGCGTCTTTATGCGAGCCATTCGCGTAGAGAAACACGAAAAGTCCCTAAGGTACCATACATATATGGTCGTTTGCAAAACGGAGGGAAATAAGGACGAATTCTGTAACTTAGGTTGTCGTTATATTTTTGCCGGTGATCGTAAACGTCAAGAAAAGTTCGAAGGGCGTATAATTTTCTCCATATCTTATAAGGGCTTCGAAATTATTTTAACCCTTACCATACCATCTACAATTTGGTGCCTCATTCATACCATCAAGGGTCACTTCAAATCTTCGTTTTTTTACCTCTTCAAAATAATTCAAAAAATCTCTAAAAATTCACCAACATACTTTCAACTTTCTAGAATAAATATTGACTCTTTATTTTGGAAAATAATAAAATGTAGTATAATTTATAATTACCGAAAGACAAAGAAACTTGCACGAACAGAAATCACTCGGTCACTAGTTACCCATATTAGTACGGTAAGGGTTAAAACCTCCAATTTTCTGTTAAAATCTCGACCGAACAAATTGAGTATTTTGAATTAATAAAAAATTAACTTTAATCGATATTCCTGGGTCCAATCGATTTGAACATTTTCTTCAACCATACGTAAAAAATTATTTATAACAAATGTTTTTTGTAAATCAATGAAAAATAAATCTATTTTCAGTCAAAGCGGATTTTAATGCTCAAATATTTTAGAGGAAATTTATATACATAATCAAAGCAAACTGTGCGTCGAAATCTTTCTCACAATCTTACACGAAAAGAATGATTCTGTTGAAGGATCACTATATACAAGTCTAAAAATAATTTTGTCAGATCACTAAAACGTAGTATTTACGTAGAAACCTCAAGCATGATGAACGATGTCATAAAAAGTTTTAGCTTTCTAGTAATTACTTTGAATGTTTTATATAATTATTTTGATATCTGTATCTATATAGAGCTAAATTTTTAGATTTTCCAACAAAATCGTTCTTACCGTACGTTACATTAACTTTAAATACAGATACATTAATTTAAAGTACACTGGACCCAGAAATACTAATTAAGGAAGTTTCATAATGAATACCGAGGATTAAATGCAAACGATATATTCGGATGCGAATCGACGAACGACTCGTATAGATTCGTATTAGTAATCGTCCCGTATTGTAGGAACAATTATCTCCATGATGAATTGAAGAAAGTCGGTCGGCCGGCCGCTCACTCGCTAACTTACTTTTTCTCCGAGATAGACAGAACGCGTTCACTCAACGGCGTTCAATGAAGGCAAATACAGCTGCTTTTCCGCGAACACGGCGTTGTGATTGTGACAAGAGACGCGGATGCAGCGAACGTGATTTATTCGATGCCAGACATTTTATATTACGCCTTTTATCGCCGTCAAATCCAGGCATCGCGTTGCACATCGGCGACATTGTAGAAAGTTGCAGCTGTACTTTTTATTTGCCCCTTTCCCAAGACGGCCACCATTTAATTGCGATTGTCGATCTTGATCGCTGTGTAATATGTCATAGTCTGAAGCAGGCAGTACATTTCGCCGTCTATTCAGTTCAGTTCAATTCAACGTGCATTCGGTTCACTTTGGTCTTAAATGAGAAAGTTGCTTTATAACTTACAGAGTTACTAAATGGACGCCCCGGCTGCTGCATCAATTCAACTTTGTTCCGTGCTTTTTTGTCCTCTCCCGCGTACATTATCTTGACGAGCGGAACAGACTGGAAACAAACGTCGGTCATCTGTGGATTTAAACATTTCATCTGGTTTGTAATTGTTGAATTTGTGTACGCAAGAGAAGAATCGTTTGCAGAACTAATAAGAAAGCATTAGACATTGTTTGTAAAAAGCAAAGATTTCATAGGATTAATCTGTCATTCATAGGGTATTCATAGCATTGCAATGAAATAAAATATATATAGTTGGAGTATAACTATAATTATTGATTAAATTATATATAAGTAAGTACGGTTTTGCCGAAATATCTAAAAATTTAGCCTAGATACAGAAAATAATTTTTCTGGACCATTAAAGTAATTGTTTAAATGTTGACAATGCTGCAAAAAGTTTTAACATTCTAGCAATCAATTTAAGCATCCTACGTAATTATTTCGATGTCTAAACCGTATGTGTTTTTTCCGGGTAGTTTAATTAATAATTTTTCATTAATGTCCCCAAGTACGATGAAAAAAAAAGAAAGAAATATGATAAATTATAATTAAGATTAAGAATCGTACACTGAAAAAAAATATAGTCAATTTTAATAAATATTAGTTGAATACTGCCAACTAAATATTTATTAAATATAAAGATATATTTATTTGATAAAAGAAATGTTAATTTGAATTAACAATTTTTCTTTTACTGAACAAATATTTATTTACTGTAAGTAAATGTTTAGTTGGCAGTATTGAACTAAATATTTATTAAAATTGACTATATTTTTTTCTCAGTGCATACATCACAGCTATTCTGAATAATTCTGAGCAGTCTCTTATATAGTTTCCTTTATAATCTTCAGTCGTACACATAATTATCTCTTTGTTTTCGAAATTACGGTAATATGTATAAGCACGAGGGCGAAGCGCGTCCGATTTGTCTCCTAGCCTGTCTCGTGCAGAAGATAACTAAACAAAAGTGATGATGACGAGGTCCACGAAACTGACGCCGGGTCTAATGTGGAAGTAAACCGAGGTGAATCGGGCAGACATGGCGTTATACTCGCTCCTTAAGAGGAGCCAGGGCTCTCGAGCCCAGAGATTTATGCCACGCGCGGATTTGTGCCCCTGACGCGGAATTAATCTTTAGTCTCCCTCCCCTGGTCCCCGCGGAGCGAGAAACCGCTCATTACTGTATCTGGCTTTGTAACTACTGTTGTGCAACCGTAGCGGATATAACTTCTCGAGCTGTCTGAGATTGTTACGAACTAATCGCAGTCTGCGACTCATAACTGGGATCCGCGCGGATGCCGTGAGTTCAAGCTATCGACCGACCCGAAAGTTCAAGCTATCGATCGACAAGGACTGGAGTTCTTCATGTACGCAATGACATATAATTAATTAAATCTTAAGCGAACACAGTGGTGTTCTCAGAGATAATCACTGTGTACAGAGTTGCCACAAAATTGGAAATCAGGGAAATGTATAGGCAAGGGAAATTGAAAACGATCAGGGAAATCAGAAAGAAGTCAGGTAACTTTGCATAATTGCTCTTTCCGTGTATATTTCAACCAACCATTTTTGTTGTTACGGTAAAATTGTAGTTTATAGGACAAAACATTTTTCCTACACTGAGAGAAAGGATTTTGTTAATTTAGCAAGCCACCACTACCTTTAACCGGTGATCGGTAAATATGTGACAACAAATTTTGTTGTGATTGCTGCTAGTCCGCTATACCAACGAATTATTAGTAACAGAAACAAACTATATAGAATCTAACCTATCTTTTGGATAGACTTTAGCTCGTTTACATAGAATTCGTAGATGATCGTGGAGTTTTAAGTCGTAGGAAACCGACCAAGCACAGTCAAATATGGGGAGAATACTTGAGTAGAGTTAGTCAGTTTCTTACAATTTGAGATCCTGCAACCGTCTACGACTTTTATATATATATAGTATATGAGCCTCTTATTTGCTAGCGATACTATTAATTATTTATTACATTGACGAATTAATTTGCAAAATCATAACAAATCGATAATTTTTTGAACAAATATCACATTTGCTTTCCCTTGATTTGTTCCTATAACAAAATCATTTCTCTCAGCGTAGTGTTGCGAATCTCATTGGAAGCTACGCTCCTCCGTGTGTTGTAACATACATGTATTGAACATATATAACATATATGTACCCCAAGCGTTACATTTATACAGTAAAGTTTAAAATTACGATGTATCGAACATCGTTATTTATTTTATAATCGGTTTATTCTTTTTTTCAGATCACGAACTTTTTGGGAAAATTAGTTTATCTCGGCGGACTTGTTGTTGGTAAGTAATTTTTGAAATTTCCTTCGAGAGTCGCGTCTCCAACTAGTACGAAACTTATCCAAAACGAGTCCCGACGGTGTGTAGAAAATATTCTTTCTTCCTTTTTTTTCTTCTCTCCCTTTTTGTTTTATGCGACATCGCGCTAAGGCGGAAAACTTCGTTGCACCATCCATGCCGCCGCCTAAAAGAGTTTCGGCTTCTCGCGGGAAATTCGCGGCGCTGTCGTATTAAGCTTCTCCCATTTGTGATAAAACGTAACGGCAGAAAAGCTTCTCTCGTAGCTATTAAGACGACCGCGATTACGCTTTTGCGGCTTGACTAGCAAGAAATCCTTTTACCGTGTCGTTACTTGGATGAAAAATTTGTATTCGAGACCAGTATGCGTTATTGTAATACCAAAGTACTGCTCGTTCGCTGGGAAATAGCATAAATCAGGCGTTTCTTTCTGGCTCAGCGCCCCTCAAAACGCGGGAGAGAATCGAATTATACTTTATTGTCGTCGTGCGCGAACATTGGATCTGCAGGCGTCGTCTATAGATTTTGAGAGACAACACGATCGTGGTTGAGCGGACGAGCGATCGAGCAAAAAGGATGGAAGGTGGATTCAGGACGTCGAATATTGGCGATGTCGTGCCGAGAGGGATGGGGGTACAAAGGGGGATGACGAAGGTACGCGCCCGGAATCGTACCCAAAATTCACAGCACGTGCTTCTAACGTAGCTCCCGCAGGAGCCCTTCACCTGAAGAGGTTACTAGCTATTTTTATGTGTACCTATATAGTTATCGAAAGGGAAAGGGATGTAAAAGGCTGAGACTCCGAGGGACCGTTTCCAGCTGTTGGATAGTCCAAAGGGACCAGTACAATAAAACACTTTAATTTTTATTTCGCTAGATGTACGACAAGTACTCGTTGCCTTCGTAAAACCATTGTTTTTCATGTCAATTCTTTTTTAATACACCCTCTCTAAAACTTTTAGAGAGGGTGAATAGCCACTCTGAATAATGAAATTTCACTCTTAAAGATTGAAAATTGAGTTACTCTTTTCCAAAACTGGCTCAATTTTCGTTCTTTAAAATAAAATTTACTCCAAAAAAATGTAAAGAACTTATGATTATTATAACGAAGTTTTTAATATTGCAATAGAAATAAAATCTAATCTCTCGAATATATCGTTTTGCTGCTGTCGAAGCGTTTTTAAAAGGCATACAGAGATTTCAGACGATCGGAAAGCCCCTCGTCCGAGCGTTAGCTTTGAATTTGGCGTTTTCTTCTGATGCTCGAGGGAGATCGTTGCCAGAGTCTGTCGTTGATGGTGCTGTCGAATGCCAGGAGCGCGCGTCTTTCCCTCACGTTTGACCTTTTCGGGTCTGGCGCGCGACGAGGGAGGAGGATCAGAGAGCGCCTCTTCGCCTCAACGATTCTCGCCGTCCACTGTGTGCCTGGTAATGGCCTTTATGTAACGCCCTGACATTCTCGGGTGGCTGGACGACCTCCATAATGCAGAGCATATAACGCTCCGTTCTTACGCCGCAGGATCGCTTCTTCAATCAGGATCTACGAGTTTGATGCGCGATATCCCAAGCGGACAGTAGTCGAGGAAGGAATGCCGGATTCGGAGTTACAACATCGGGTTAAGGGTCGAGCATATAAAATGGGGTCGAAGGGACATGTAGGTACATACCTAAAATGTTGCTCTTCAAGATTGGAGATATCGTCACACGGATGAAACTTGATGGGTTGATATAATAAAGTTGGTAGAAAGGTCAAATGAACGAGTAGTTAATTAGGTCAAAGATTAAAACTATAGTTTATCAAAATGTTAAAAAGAAATTAAAACTAGTTCTTTATTAATATACAATATATGGAATATACCAAGTCTTTTTTCGCTAAATAACAATAGAAAATAAATTAAATTGAGGGTTTGGAAACAAATAAAATACGTGAAACTTTAATATAATTAAAATGTTGGAGGGTCGATATAAAAATATAAATAAATTCTTTTTTCAACATTTTATTAATTAATTGCTCGTTTGACCTTTCTATCAATTTTATTACATTTACTTTGCAATTTTGTGGGAAATGGATATTATTGATGATGGGTTGGAATTCTTTTTCCGCAAGATTATCTTCTCGAATTGTACAGTACAACCTTACTGTCGACCACTGTGTGTTCCTATTATTCCGCTTATGTTATTAAGACTCGCGTAGAAGATCGATTAATCGTAAACGCATTAAAAGATTACCACGTCGCGACGAGAGAAAGAAAGGGGATCGCGTTTAGGAGCGAGATGTACTTCGGTGGCGAGACGTCGAAAGCCCGCGTTAATTAAGGTTTCTTAGCAAACGAGGCGGAGCAGACGACGCGTGTGTAATTGTGCATTCGCCTGTCGGCAGCCTCGTCGTTGAAGGCTTTGTCCCGAGAAACCAGAATGGATCTTAAGACCTAGGTTCGCCCGCACGCCTACGGACAATGGCAGTGGAGGTCTACTCTACAATACAGAGCCCTGCTTATAGTATTTCTGAAACGCGAATTCTTTCTCGATATCATCTCCCCCATTTCTGGCTCTCGTATGCTCATTCCCCTATTTCTTTCCTCTCTTTCTCCGTCTTTTTTGGTAGGTATAAACGCATCGACCGACGTCAGATATAATCGCCGATAAATAAAGTTGATAATAGACGACGTTTAATAAATAAAATTGAAAATTTTTAATATACATATTACACATTTTTCTTTATTGGAGAATATCTTTCTTACAGAAATTTTTCGATGATATATTTCTGTGTCCTAGTAGTGGAGTAAAGTATGACTCTTTTAACTTCGAACACGCGCATGTGCAAGCATCTGCTAGGAAAATAGCAGCTGCTAGAGGTATTTCGCGGGAGATACGGGGAATCGGTATATCAATTTAATGAAAATCAGTACCTCTGGAGGCCAGAGGACTTTCCTTGCAAGTGTGATTGATGAGGCGTGCTGCCTGAGCGCATTCATTGTGAGAGTGTAGATTAGCGTTGCTGTCGACGAAATGTATTACGGCGGTATGTCGCGAGAATAATAAATGTAATTTAATGTGGCGCAGAGCTAGTACGACTCTCAGTGGATCGCCAGGTCGCATACATTGCGCATTACGCGCGAATATTTGCGTCATATATCTGAAAAAGAGCTAAATAGACACGCGCGCGGAGAAATATCGCGAGATGCGCGACCATTAATATCATAAAAATAATATAATTACAGCAGCAATTAAGAGTAAAATATGAAGTAATAAAGAGGAATTTTTTTCTGGAATTTTAAAATAATTCGAAAAAAAGTCGACGAAGCTATTAATTCTTCAGATAATTTTCTATGAAACTTTTTTATAGCGGACTCGATGCGATTATTCGTCAACGAGATAGCGCCATATATCCAAGAATACGAGATCTGCGACAGAAATACATGAGTAAATCTCGATAAATTTGTGCGCGATAAAGATCAGGGTAACGGTCGAGAATTGGAATTGTTGATTATATCCTGCGGTATGGTAAATCATGACGACGTTATTTCGGAGGAGGTTGTATTATTCGCAGATGCGATCTCCAGCGTTTGGTCCCCGAATCCCTTATCGTCCTAGTGATATCGCCTTACAGAACGTGCACTGTACCGCAACAGAGAAATAGCAAGGAGCAAGTTAGATTTCTTGGTAAACTTTCTTCCTTTGCGCGTGAAATTAAATTGTCATGTTGCGCGAAAGTGAAATCACGTCCAACGGTTAAATTACCACGTTACGAAAAATTTATTTTATGCGGTTAACATTAAATATCCATCTGCGAAATATACTTTGTGCGCGATCTTCTTTCATGATATCTAACTTATACTGCTAGATGTATGAAAAGAACAATATAGTAACTCAAGCCTTTAAATTAAATATTTTGTTATTTTTAACTCCCTTAATGTATATCAAAATGTAAATCCATTTCTGCGATTAGTTTCCAAGTAAACATCGTTCATATTAACGTGCATTTAGTAAATAATAAACTAAATTTGAATCAAATTAGATACATTTTCTTAAGTTGTTTATCGCCATCGTTTTAGTCAAATTAACGAGAAATTGAGAGCAATGGTGACCTGTAGAAATGAATAAAAATAACTCCGATTGTGTGTGGGTGTAATCTGACATTAAGAATTCAACAGTGTACCTTAATAATAACGTTTCGAGATGTAATACACGCAGTGCGTGCTTTATTACAGCTATATTATTTCCGAGAGTTACGCACTAATAATATCATGCTGGGGCCTTCACCCCTTGTCGACGATCTTTATCGTGCATTCTCGTCGTCGACACTTAGGTCGCGCTATATGGAAACGCGCCCTCAGGATTGCTCTTATCGGCATCTATCCCGTCGTACGTCGTACCGACGCCCATTCCCCATCCTCCTGGTCTTATCTAGCGGCGGCTCGCGTGAAAACCCTCTTTAGTCTCACCTCCCTCGCCACACTAAAGACAATACCCCCTAAAAAGGTAACAAACTTTTTAGTAGCTGCAAGAAGGAAACCTCGAACGAGCGCTGTACGAGCTTTTCTCATAGTTTCCGTCACATCTTATACTCTTTCCGCGTAAAAACACCCTGTAGGTACGTAAAGTATACGTACATATGTACATCTGACTGCGGAAGCTTTATGCTTACTCTTAAAGTTGCAACATTTTGTCAGATCGCATATGAATATATGAGTGTGCGTGACGTTTCTCAAAAATTTATGCACGTTATACGAATGAACAAAGAAAAGTATACAGAAAGGACGATTTTGCTAAAGTATCTAAAAATTTAGCTATTATAGACACAGATCTGAAAATAAATTTGTTTGGAACATCAAAATAATTATCTAAGAAATCCAAGCAATGATGAAAATCTAATAAAAATTTGACTAAAATAAAGATTTAATTTTATATTACTATCAAAATTATTCAAATAGTTGCTAGAATGTTAAAACTTTTTGCAGCATAGTTTGAGATTCCTCTAAAAT